CGCACTAGGATTTTCGGTTTCCACTAGCCGTTTCCTAGCAGTGGACCTCAACACAGAAACTAGCACTTCAAATTAGTATTCAACCACCATGGAACCTCAGAACTTTACTATAAACTCCTCCAGGACTGTCTTATCGGTTATTCTGGAACCTTTTATGATTCTTTGCCACGGGCGCCATAGAAAACACATATGACGTGTCAGACTGTGAGTTCATTGTTCCGTCATCAGCGCTGGGCGTGACGTGGACGACATAGAAAACACAGCCTCCTCTACTGTCGCGTAACCTAGCAACGGACTGTTTACCAAGAATCTGCCTTCGCGGGAACTTGTTTACCAACACATTGCATAGGAGTGGGCGTACACATAACATTATCGTCTCATCTATGGCACTGTTTTCCAAATAGTCTGCCCGTGAGAATTAAAATATACATCCTGAAGATGGAGGCAGCAGATTCTTCGGAAGCTTTGATAAATATATACCAGACTACACGGCATCACATCGCAGGAGACAATATTGTTCATAGTCAATGCGTGGAAACTTCAAATATGAACGAAATTAATTTTAACGCGATTTTTACACGCTGCTTGCACGAAAGTTGAGTTGGTCTTACGGCAGAAAGAGGGCAATGAGGTATGTAGAGTGGCAGAGAACGCAATTTGGAAGACACATGTATTCCACTGGAATATCTCCTCCCGTTCTTTGTTTGTCGTTTCGTTCCATTGATCCAGGTGACGAGTGCGGCAAGTCAAGCATGTTCTGCAAACTTTAGGCTGAGCTCCATTATGCTGTATGGGGTAGGACACAGGCAGGTTGCCAGGTTACGGTTGTACAGTTAGGTGCATTTTATCGCTCTTTCTTTCTGTGGCTAGCCGTATTTGTTATTCCCTTTGGTAAAAGAAGGCAAAATTATCTCTGTGCTTACCTAATTAAGCACTACGCCGTGAAGGCTTAAGGGAGAATGAATGTATAGATCCACGTTTTGTTGACTTCGGCACGTTGGAAATGAGTGGTCAGCTTCACGCTTCAGCAGCTTTACCCCCGGGGAAAGAGCCCCCATACCCATTGTATAGGAGGCTGGCTGGGCCCCAGAGCCTGTCTGGACAACGTGAAGAAGAGGAAATCCTTCATCCTACCGGGACTCGAACTCCGACCTCTCGGTCGTTCAGCCAGTAGCCAGTTGCTATGCCGACTGCGTTATCCGGCTCCCCTATTCCCTTTGGTTTTACGTACGTAGTAGTTCCGAGCAGAGCCCATAAAACCAATTTTTATAGTGCGTAGTCATACGAAATTATTATTATTATTATTATTATTATTATTATTATTATTATTATTTGTTTGAGATTCTCACAGCCATGAAAATGAAGATTATTCTCTTCTGGGCTCTGAGACTGTGTAGTATGATACATACTTACAAACAGTCAGGAGAAACCTGCTGCCTAATCTTCAGGGTATAACAAAGGTTTCACCCATGTTCTACCTTGAATATGGAGACAATAGGTCCGTCACACGCGCTGTAACTACCTATGACAGGGCGCTACACCACAGAAGACACAGATCAGAGACTTTTTAAAAGAGTCACAGATGACAGCGTTAAAAAGAAAGTCTCAGAATATATAATACTCGTACCTTGAGTGTAAAAACTGCTTGGGTTACTTCACACTAAACATTAGAAGTCGAACTGTTCAACCGGTAAGACATTAAACGACACTGTATCAACCGCTTAAGAATGTTCTTATCGATAATTCTTATACAGTATATATATATTTTACATAATATTAGCAGTCAGAATTACGTTTGATTCTATAAGCTAATTAGCTGCAGTAATCTTCGTGACGTGGAGACGGCTTATCCAGAGAGAAGACCTCGTTAAGCCTCTCTCGGGTCGGCTGGCCAATTCCTTTTTAGTCTTCGTCCAGTGTGCGGTTCCAGTAACGGTTGCATTAATACGTTCTCATGTCCTTCTGTTTTGTTGGGGTATCTTGTGCTTTTCCCTGTTATGACTTCCTTTACTAGCGGCACTTTCAGGTTTTCATGGAGCGTTATATTGGAAACATAACGTGGGGCGTTAGTAATCATACGTAGTATCTTTGACTGACATCTTTGAATTATGGAAATATTGGTTTTGCTCTACAGTATATAAACAGCTAAGATTTTCTCTTCTATCGTTATGTATATTACCAAGTACATCAGATGACGACAGCAACAAAACTGTATGCTGGATCCGATATTACAGAATTCACTTTTATTAAAAGAAATCCTGTAGACAGCAGCCCCGCTTAGTGAACATAATTATTCTTTAAAATACAGTGTCTCAGTATAATTACAGCAGTTTTTTCTGAGCTTTCCAAGTTCTTGGGGTTTGCCATTCTTGACGAAGCTTGTGTTTAACAATTTCATTATAAAATTTCAATGCTCCTCATGTTAGTGGTTTACAGTGATTGAAGTAAGGAGGAACAGAAGCGAAATCAGAGAGGAAGTTCGGAACTTCTATCTACCCACACTGACCGTTTCCTGAGGAACTTTCCGTAAGCTTAGCAGAAGTAATGTATATAAAGTTATGACTGTGTTAGAGAAATATTTTTGTTACTGAGTGTCATCATGTCCCAGTCAGCAAAGTAACTGTCTGCAGTTCCAAAAGTAACTAAAGTGATTCATAATGTCAACGTGTCTTGCTTGCACCTACAATTAGACTCGTCCTCATGTAAGGCAAACAATCAGTCACGTGACACGAAAGTGCGTTGAAGAGTGTGGTCTTCTGGCTTGTAATGCCATATAGTTCGCACACAGCCAGATATTTCGGAGGAGCAATCGCCTCTATCCACATGCTCGAAGAATATGTCAAGAAAGAGATCAACTTGTCATCAGCTTCTGTTTTTCCATTTTAATTCATTCTTCATTCACTAATGATTCTGGGCTGCCAGCTGTACCTCCTTTTCGCTATGGTCCTCTAAGAAACTTTACCTCTTTTACGTCAGGTGCTCATTTTTTCTGTCTCCGGTATCCATCTCATCTTCAGATCACGTAAATCATTCTCTACATCTTCAATTAATTTAAATGTGGGACATCTCACTTTCTTCTGCCTTCTGGTTTACTTACTTACTAATGGAGCTGAGCACTTCTGAAGGAGCCGCCAATTCTGCAGCATTTTATGGAATCCGAAGGTTCATTACCGTCCTCACAAGAGCCCTCCACAGTTCCATATCCTGAGCCAGATCAATCCAATCCATAACATTATAATCCTATCTCTCTACGATCCATTTTAATATTTGCACCCACCTACGCCTTGGTCTTCCCAGTGGTTCTTTCCTTCTGCCTTTCCCACCAACATCCTATACGTATTCCTCGTCTCCCCCATTCGTGCTACATGCCCTGCTCACCTCATCCTCCTTGACTTTATCATTCTAATTATACTTGGCGAAGAGTACAAGTTATGAAGCTCCTCATTATGCAGTTTATTCCAACCTCCCGTCATTTCATCTCTATTCGATCCAAATATTCTCTTCACACCCTGTTCTCAAACATCTTCCATCCGGTTTACTTTAAAAAATATTCTTATCCACCTTTTGATTCATTGTAATTATATGTTTTGGTCACGCCGGTATTCTCCACTTAATAACCGTTATGAGACCAAGGTAATTCATTCTCTTCTCCCCTAGTTCTGATTTTCCAAACCCCTTGCTATGTTACCGGGCCATACACCTTCCTCGCAAATGTAATTTTCCATATCTTTACAGTTTTATCATTACCAATCATGGACCATGTTCCACAGCCACACATCAAAACTATTTTCAATATTGTTCTGCAAATTTTAAGCGCCCAGACCGCCTATGGGGCCCACCCAATTTCCTGTACAATGAGTACAGGGGAATTTTTCCATGGGGTAAAGCGGCAGGAGCGCGAAGCTGATCATTCACCACCATTTAGTGCCAAGGTCAAAAGTGACGGAGATACACATTCAATCCATCATACGTCTTCATGAAGTGGTTCTTAATTAACGAAGCCCAGGGAGAAATTTACATTTTATTCCCTTTCTTAGCGTTGTTTGTGTATTTTAATTGTTGACATTCTGCTGAAAATTGCAGATTTTAAAATATGTTGTTCACCCTGCGTACCTGTAACATATTTTAGGGTGTGTCATCATCAGACAGTGACATGTATCTTAATATCATTATGAGAAAGTTATTAGAGATCACATTTAACATAGGTGTGGTCTAGTGGTCAGAGTTCCTGGATACAGATCCAGAGGTTCGGGTTCGATTCCCGGCGCTACCAAATTTTCTGAGAAATAATGGGTCTGGAATGGGGTCCACTGATCCTCGTGAGGATAACTGAGGAGCTATTTCAGAGAAATAGCGGCTCCGGTCTAGAAAACCGAGATTAACGGCCGTGGGGATACGTTGCGCTGATCACGTGACACCCTCTATCCGCAAAAATTGGCACTAAATTCTCCTACAAGCGGCGGTCGCTCGGTCGGTATATAGTTCGCTTGCGGAATACAGGCCACGGAGTTTATTTGTTTTGGGAAGTAGAATTGTCATTCTGGGGATTTCGTTGCTTACGGAGGACTTTTCTCTCGTATGGTTGCTTGCTTAAGACAAAGCTATTTCAGATAAAATTACTCACCTCCAACTAGTGCCAAGGTCAAGAAAATTTGGATCTATACACCCACTCTCCCATACGCCTTCAAGGTGTAGTGCTTAATTAGTTAAGCACAGGGACAGCTTTACCCTTTATACTAAGTAAGAATTGCTAATTAATAGGTCCTCGAAAAATATGCAACTTTTGTAAAGGTAATTTTTCGTGCATCTGAATTCCCTGAGTTCCGATTCTCCACCACACAAGTCACACAATTAAACACAAGCAATTAAACATCCACTGGTCCCCCTTCCCGTTGTGTCATTTAAGATCGTTTTCCTCTGTGCTGTGAGCGTGCTGCAGGTGGTGGGGACACGAACAGGTAGAGGGTTTAGAAGGTTGCCAATGCCGTCAGTATCATAAGAGTCACATGACGGCGCAGTCAGAAGAACGCAATGTCCAGATGAGGGTCCTCACTTGTAGTGGGTTGTGTGCCCTGGCAATCCTGGGGGGACTTTTTGTGTTGGTAGAGGCGGGTCTAAAAGTTGAAGGAAACGTGTGTGGCCAGAGGAAGTGTGAGCCTAAGGAGTATTGCAGGGAAAACGACAAGATATGTCAGCCCTGTAGGGATGTCTGCGAGAGGACATCCAACAACTATCAGCAGACAACTTGCAACAGCCAATGTCAAGGTCTGTATTTATGCATTTATATTTTTATTTAGCTCCCTCGGTATAGAGACTTAGTTATGGGTTGCACGACCGGAGAATCGGAGTTCAATTCCCGACAAAGGTAAGAAATTTTCCTGTTTTCACATAGCGTGAAAAGAGACTTCTCTTTCCCCGGAAATAAAGCTGCTGAGACATGAAGCTGACCGCTTCTTTCAACGCAGAGGTTCGGAACAAGTGGATCTATACACACAATTTTCTATATGTCTCCATGGCGTGGGGCTTAATTAAAAACAAGCGATATTTTACTGTGTCTCTAGGTCCATATATTAATAGTTTGTTTAACGACCCTCGTAGTAGTTCAGACTATACACGTCGAATGCTAAGGTGATTAAGAGACTAATCGTAAAAAGAGGTGCAACAAAATAAAGAATCGTGGTTTATCTGATGTGCTATCTCGGAATTTCCGTGGAGTGATCTAAAAGAACCACAGACAACCGGAATAACTTGTCTTTGAGCTGAGGTTTGAATTCAGGAACTACGAATTATGCAACAGGAGTGCCAATCACACTACCGTGAGGTTCGTTGTCGAGATGCGTGGTGACTAATGTCTGCAGTGTTTCCACGTGGCGCAAATCGAATTATGTGTGCTATTATTGTAGTGTATGCATGCATAAGCAGTCGTAGTGTTTATATTTCTCTTCAAATTACCTTATGTTTTTATGTATATAAAAATATTTTATATGACAAAAAGTACAGATCTAATTAAGTAAAAGGTAAAAATAAAGTTCGGAGAGTTTCATGGAGGTAGGCCTAGGCCCAAATGAGGGCTGTAACGCCAATAAAAAAAAAGGCAAAGTTGTCCTTGAGCTTAACTTATTAAGAACTACGCCATGAAGAAGTATGGGGAGGGGATATATAGATTCGCCTTTTTTTTTTTTACCTCGGCTAGATTGCGGTCTTCTTAGATGTGACGCAGTGTAGATTAATAAATGGGTACTAACGTTTCAGAAGAAAATTTTGCCTCCATCTACAAGTTATGACCCATACACTGTTGCTAATCATTTAGAAATTTTAATTTTTGTTGAAACTACAACTGCGAATGTAACATATGCTCAAGTGTCTATATGTCTGCTCCTGCTGTATATACGTGAAATGATCATACTACAAAATGTGACAATCCAATTGCTTTTATAACAAATATTATGCCGGCTTGCCATCTGCTTTCATGCTAGTATCTTGCAGTGCTTATTTCACTCAGGCGATGAAGGCGATATGTTCCTCCGAAACGTCGGTTGACTTTCAGCGGACTACAAGGCGTTATATCCAAGAAGAAATTACTCTTCATAAACACCGCTTTGAGAACCTCGAATCCTAAAGCACTTCACCTAAACTACCAAAAGCTTTCTCTTCCCCATTACGTTATAAATAAAATTGGAAATAATTCCAAATTCTGATGCAATTAAAACGCAAATATCAGACTCTCCAATGTAGCAAAATACATGTAGATATAGAATTGTGTCCTCTTCTCTTCCCTGCATCTTAAAATGGAAACAGTAGTTTCACCAGAAATGGGTGTATTCGTCTACCAAGCTACATGATGCCACATCCCAGAAAATATAATTTTGATAAGTTCACGAGAACTCAAGCCTCGCACTATTCCCTGCAGCGAATACATAACGAAATACAAGAAAAATATTTGCAGTATTTGCAATGCGATCAAGTTTGTGAGAACGGATCTGTAACAACGAGATAAGCAAAACAGTAAAGAATGCAGATTCTAAAAGGTTCTGACGATGGTAATTACACATAAAATTACTGGGTGTTTGGACTTGTCCCATCATCCGGTATTCTAGAAAATAGAAAACACGACGTTTTAGAAATTGGATCTGTATCCTTCCTTAGATGAGGGGGGAAAAGTTCAAAAACCGAGTAATTCTATGAGCAAAGAATGCATTCAGAATATATTTCTGCGGAGCGGTCTTCTACTGTAAGTGAAAAACATAAACAGAAAACACGAAAGTAAGACACAAATAGAGACAATTAATAATAGCTCAACAATTAAAAAAAAAACCCTATCATATTATGCAACTTGAAGGTTCATTATCATTGGTCCCTATCCTGAGACAGAGAAATCCAATCCACAATCTCCCATCTTATTTCTTTAAGAAAAATTTTAATATAATGCTCCTACCTACACCGAAATCTTCCAAGCGATCTACGTCCTTTAATCTTCCTACCAGAATTCTGTATGCATTTCCTTTCTCTGCCAAGAGTGCTGCATGTCCAGTCCATTTCACCCTCCTTGATTTTATCATCATACTAATATCTAGTGAAGAGCAGAAGTTATGAACTTCTTCTGGCTTATTTTGGACTTCATCCATCGTCTGGTGTGTAAAAGACAAAAGACCACGACGTTTCGGAGACTGGATCTGTCTCCGTCTTCAGGTGGGTAGGGAAGGATAAAACCTACTCAGTTGGGCCCGTAAGAAAGAGCTAGTCTCAATCTAACGGGCCCAACTGAGTAGGTTTCATCCTTCCCTACCCACCTGAAGACGGAGACAGATCCAGTCTCCGAAACGTGGTGGTCTTTTTTCTTTTACACACCAGACGATGGATGAAGTCCAAAATAAGCCAGAAGAAGTACAGAATACACCATCGTCAGAATCCTTTCAAGTCTACCAGAAGTTATGAAGCTCCTCATTTCGCAATTTTTTCCAACCTCCTGTCACATTCTTCCTCTTAAATTCACTCTACTTAGCATCCCGCTCTCAGACAACCTGCATCTATTAGGATTTGAGGTTTTCATGGCCGTGACCATAAAGAATGCCGTCTTCTGGGATGTGGCGCCGTGTAAGTATTGTATAATAAAATACAACACAATACAATACAATACAATACCTACACGGCGCCACATCCCAAAAGACGGCATTCTTCAACCTCAATCTATATTATTCACGTAACGTGAGAGAAAATAAAGTAAACTAAATCTATCCCTGTAAGAGGCCGTGGAGGCCCATATGGTTGTGAGATGTTGAGGGTCCCACATTATCTAGACAATCGGCTCAAAGATGGCGGTAAGGTTGTCAGCCTTACGGTCCACCCGGCCGCCGTTTACCGCCAAGAATATTCCTAGCACTCATTGACAGAAAATACGCTGAAGTAACTTAAAATATAAAAACTAATAAGAATATTTCATCTTAGATAGAGTAATCTAGGAAATTAGAAGTTCTATAATGAAAAAAACTGACGCATACTTTCTGCCTCATAATTCCACATTAATATAATAATGAACTTTTTTTTATTGCTAGTGGGGTGGGACTAAGTCCCTTGCACTGCGGCCACTTCTGGCCTATTATACCAGCCCCAGATGATAGGTGAGGGTGATTGTGGAGCAATTGGTGGAATGAAGATTGGCAGGGGAAAACGAAGTACTCGGAGAAAACCAGCCCCAGCGCCACTTTGTCTACCACAAATCCCACTTGACCAGACCCAGGATCGAACCAGGGCCAGCGACTAACCGCTTGAGCTATGGCGCGCCTAACAATGAACATAGTGTTTGATGTCTGAAGTATCAGCTACAAGATACGATATACTGTGAGGCTGACAAGTCGGATAACGACGTCCAGCGCAAGGAACTAACGCTGCTACTAGTTTCCAGTCTAGTTTACTTTCTGTACGGTTCTACTGTTGAAACTGTGTATCAGCAGGAGTAATATTTTGCTCGACGCACTGCCGTAGCCTTCTTCGATTTCTCGGAAACCCAAATAACCAATGTCCCTTTTACAGAAAGAAAGTCCAGTGACACTTCTACAGAGCGTGCAGAGAACGCTGCATTGTATTGCTACACGTAGACCAAATTCATCGACCGGACCGAATTCCAACTGAAATATTAATGTTAACGGCCCTACAGCCAGTTCCGTGAAACGTCTCGGATCTTAGAGAGAAATATTAATATATTCTAGGATGTGATGCCATGTAGCTTGTGTACATGTGCTGCATGCATTTTCAAGACGTTCTAAACCTTTAAGTACAGGAAAGACTAAACTCTATTTAGTGGAAACATTATTTTCCCCTTTCACTGTAGTTCATTTTATGCTCAATGCGGAATGTATCCCACTTTTCAGGAACATGAAGGTTCATAACTGCGTTCACAAGAGTTCAGTAATGAAACTATTTTGAACTAGTTCAATCCTGAAGAATGCCGTCTTCTGGGATGTAGCGCCACGTAGATCTTGTGTGAACCGACGTTTCGGAGGAACGTATAGCCTCCATCTTCCATTTTCTACCCTGAAGATGGAGACGATACGTTCCTCCGAAACGTCGGTTCACACAAGATATACACGGCGCCACATCTCAGAAGACGGTATACTTCATAGTCACCGCTGTGACAAACCTCAGGTCTTATATAGGTCAATCCTATTCGTACCAACACACTCAATTTCTCTAAGTTGTGTTCTAAAAATTATAATCCCAACAACTCCTAGCTTTTCCATTCGGCTTATTCATGTGAAATTTCCCAGCCAAAATTTTGCATTCATATCTCACTTCACCTATGCATATAGTCTCGATACTGACAGAGTCGTTGGGCTTCATAACCTGTCCTCTTCTCCAAGCATAATTAGAATGATCAAGTCAAGGAGGATGAGGTGGGCAGGGCATGTAGCAAGAATGGAGGGACGTGGAGTGCATATAGTATATTGGTGGGAAAGCCGGAAGAAGACCACTGGGAAGAATAAGGCGTAGGTGGGTGGACAATATTAAAATGGATCTTAGGGAGATAGGATGGGATGGTATGGATTAGATTGATCTGGCTCAGGATAGGGACCAGTGGAGGGCTCTCGTGAATACGGTAATGAACCTTCGGGTTCCATAAAATGCTGGGAAATTCTTGAGTAGCTGCAGATTTGGCGGCTCTTCAAGAAGGGCTCAGCTCAATATGTACTGACAGCATCGTTAAGTAAGAAGCTTAAAAAATTCACCTATATCAGCAGAAAACTTTCAGTGTTAGGCGGTGTAATGCA